TTTGCGTCTAATTTGAGGGAAATTGGTATTGTGGCTGATTCTTGCTCTCTAAGAAGCGAAACATAAAAAATCCTGCATTAAAAACATGCAAAATTCGCCGATTTTTAAAAGTCGACAAAAGTCTGAGCCCAAATAATTTTTATTTTCTTTTTTTTTCTTTTTTTTTCTCGAGTATTATACAAGCATTATATTAGATATAAAACAAAAACATGCACAAACTCCTAGGTGGGTCGGGTCTATATAAAATTTTTTTAACCTGTGATGCGTTTACAATTATTATATCAAAATGTATCTAAAATTTGAGTCTCCGCAGAAAAGGAACAGCGATATTCTTCAGGTATAGGAACCAAGACGAAAGGCAAAGTGTAAAGAAACAGGCGCTATTATTGCAGCCACGAGGGACGCAAAGGGGGAGAGCGTAGAAAGAACTTGCTTCAAAGGCGCTCGGAAGCTTCTCAAAAGCGGGAGTGGGTGGCAGTGAAAGTTCCACGGAAACTGAACTTTCCTTAAAAGCTGCAAATAAATTACCATCAAAGTCACAAGGCGACTGCGCGGAGTTCAACTCGTCACAGATGAAAGTCGGGGAAAGCTTTGAGTATCAGGGTGGCAGAGGGCAGTAGGCAGTCCTCGGCTGAGGGTGGAAAGCTTGGGTGTACTACAGTTTCAACCCCTCGAGACCGGCTCCCCTCCCCTCGCCTTCAGCCGGCGAAAACTCCGATCGATGAAACTCATTCAATGGGGACTCCACGTTTCGGCGGCAGCGCCGAGTCCCCTCCCCCTTCTATTGTCGCCAATTGCAATTGAGGGCTGCTATTATGGGGTGACCAGGTCGGGACTACCCCTCCTGACTGCTACGCGGCCCGGCCCCGCAAGGCGCTTCTCGGCCTCAAAGGTGCATTTCTTCGGTAAGTTCCTGAAATTTTAAGGGAAATTCATGGTCTGAAAGCACTGTTCTTCCCAATTGCAATTGAGGGTTGCTATTATGGGGTGATCAAGTCAGGACTACCCCTCCTGACTGCTACGTGGCCCAGCCCCGCAAGGCGCTTCTCGGCCTTAATGGTGCATTTCTTCGGTAAGTTCCTGAAATTTTAAGGGAAATTCATGGTCTCAAAGCACTGTTCTTCCCTTTAAATGTTTTTGAAAGATGTTTCGTATAAATTAGTGATTTTTTAAAATACGTTTTTAATTTTTATTTTAGTTTATTTTTTTAATTCAAATATCTGAATTCAATTTCTTTCAGTTTCATGATTATCAAAATTGAATTCTTCAATTTTTTAACATTATTTTTTAATTTTACTAAACATTTCTGATTTAAGCCTTTTTAAACTTTATTAAATTGTGTTTATTTATTTTTCAATTTTATGAATGTTTTCTTATTATATTTTTGCACCTAAAATTTTTCTTTATTTTATTGCTGCATTGTGATTTTTTCAGTTTTTATTTTATTTTTGACTTATATTAGATTCTTCCTTGAGGGCCGTTCATCAAATAGGTATAACACGGAAAATCAGATTTTTTGACACGCCCTTCCTCTTCGTAACGAATCCATATTACATACGTCTGAACCCCTTTAAAAAAATGACTGAACACATTGTTAGAAAACTCTCCCTTCCAATTAACGTTTTGTAATTAATTTTGGATGGAAAATTGCCTTTTCCTAACAATTTTTCGTCTTGAATTTCGATGAATTGGCGCTACGGCCCATTCTTGTGTTCCAGAACGTCCCCCTTTAGGGGCGATGGTCCCAGGTCCTTATCCTTTAATTAATTCGTATCAATACAATGCGTAACGCGCTTCATCCCCCCCCCCCCCCAGAGCGTTACGTATTTTGCGAACCAAGTCAGATAAAGAAAGATGGTCGCATCTCGTACCCTCTTGACGTCACACGGCATCAGGTACATCCTGATTGCATGGCGACCCTCTGCAAGCTGCAAGTTACAACCTTTAAAATGGCGGCTCAACTCAAAACGCGACCACCTTTCTTTATCCGCCTTATTTATGAACGGCCCTTTACGACCCTTTTGCTCTAAACTACTACACAATCAGGACTTCAGTTCCCACTGACATTCCTTCTTATCCTGGTAAAACTCGAGAAAAGGTGAGAAAATAAGAATTTTGGCGTGGTTACGCGGGCGACAATAATGTCATCGGATGGATTGCCAGGCACGAGAAACGCGAGGCATATGGCTTCGCGACAGCGACAGGACTCGAAGAAGTGATCTGGCTGGAATCTGGATGACCGTTGTGAAGCCGGTGTCGCTACATTGTTGTTCCGCTCTGCCGTGATAGCGAAGCGAGCAGTAAGTCCATGCTGGGATGAACCCCGAGACACATAAAAGCATGTGCTAATCACGGCTCATACAGAAATGCACTTACGGCTCTCTTCGCTATCCCGGCAGCGCTGGACCCGACGCTGCTCCGGGAGCCTGAAGCGCGGTTCTCGTGCCCGTGCGTTACGGCTCGCTGCGGCCGCGGCTCGGCCGGGGAATCGTCGCGGGCCGGGCGGGCGCCTCGCCGCTCCGCGCCGGTGTCTGATTGGCCTCAAGGTCAGTCTGCTCCATGCTCAAGAGTAATGCCCGATGTCCACTGCCCACCGGACCGGCCTGGAGGTGCTGGACGTAGACGACGCTCCCCGTCTACCGATGCGCAATAATCACGACGCATGAAAATTGAAAATGGTTCGCGGGATCTTGAGAGAGCCTTGTTAAAAATGGGTCAAAATTCGCCCCTTTTTAGACCCTCGATTCGGCAAACGGGACTTGCGCCAAATTGATGCACATGATGCTCAAAGTCTCCGGAAAAATTTTCAGCTTCAGTTAAAAAACGGTTCCGGAGATACAGGAGGTGAAGTGGGGGTTTCGGGGCTAGCGTTACTCTCTTTCCGCGGCTGTTCCTCGGCAAATCTTCGTTTTGATGTCACCCAATATATGTTTTCCTTCGTAATTTTTGCGTACTTTTCATTTCTGACCTAAAAAATTACTTGAAACGATTTTTAAGGGGATAGGGGGTGAATATTGGGGGTTGAGCGGCTGGCGGCACGCTCTTTCGGATAGGTTAGTTGTGCTAAGAAGTCGCAGAATCTAGTTTTGATGATTTCAGATTTTAAAACAGCAAAAATAGTAAAATCTGTCCCAACTTCAAGTTTCTACGTGTTTAATATCAACCGCCTTCAAAGAAGACGGCAGAGGCCGGGTTAGCACTCAGGCAGGGACCGGGGACCCGGGGTGCTCGTGAGTATAAGGGCTCGCACATTGCGGGTTGTATACTTCGTGAATCGCAGGCGGTCCACGTTTCTAAGAAAACGATGATTCCCAGATGCTCTCACCTTAGAGCCCTAAATCTTAAACTTTGAGAGCTCCAGGATCCCTGAAATTCCAGTTTCAGAGCCTCTCTAATTTTCCAAAAGCCCCAAGGCTTCGAGGGCTCCAAAAATGTTTGAGCGGACCACTCGCAGAGAAAAAAGAATAGAAAAGAATAGAAAAAACCGTTCTATAGGGGATGCAAGGGTTCCAGCGCAAATTAGCACCTCGGCTAATCCGGCCATTAACACGGCGTATGACGTCACTCACCGCGGTGGTGTATACCATGGTTCTTCCACCTTGGTTTCATCCGTGTTTTGAGAAGAGCTATCAATTTAAATGCGTTGGTGGAAGAAACCATGATATTTACTAGTGTGGTGGGTGACATCATACGCTGTTGATGAGCGGTATCTTCGATGAAGGAACTAGGTGTTTGAATAGATCTTTATTTTTTGCTAATCTACATGCTTAACCATCGAAACGCCATTTTGTGACCAGAACCTCAAATTACGGCGAGCTTTTTGTACACCGACAGAGGGCACATGACACCATAAGGAAAAGTACTTTTCTACCCACGGATGTTACTTTTATCTTTTATTTCTACGAGGTTTCTGTCTCTCGTTTTGTGTACACAGTACGCGATTTGATTAATGGTACCTCGGAGGGCGCTAACTACGATTGTATTATCTCCATATCATTAACTGGACTGGACGCAGGTAAATCAAAAGGAACTTTATTCAATAAAATGAATGACATAAACCCTGCCATGCATATACTCTTATAAATTTCTTGGCTCATTTCCGAATGGATATAGTTCCTTCTGATTCGAATACGTCCAATTTATGAGACAAATAATTTTTAAGATTCAAAAGTAGAATCGCCAATCGGTGTTGAAAGTCGAAAAACACGCATCTTGATTAGCAAAGTTACAGATTTCATGCCATAATATACAAAATATTACATACACTTTACAATATGTACATTTTCTTCCCTTTTGTCATCACGAATGGGCGTTTAAGGATCTGCATTTTCAAAATTTTATATATTGTTTTGTTTTCTAAGGGTTGAAACCACCCCTAAACGCCCCAGGCTTTGTGTTCATTGCACTGGAAAAAAACACATTGGATCTAGAGTCCACTTAAAAACATCGACAAGAGAAAGTACTCTTGATTCAATCAGAATCTAGCTTAAATCAAGAACCAAGCCTCTTAATTTAAGCGGATTTCGTTTTGATTCAAGCAAAAATCCGATTGAATTAAGAGTATTTTTTCTTGTCAATGTTTTCAAGAGTCTGGACTCTAAATCCAATGTGTTTTTTTTTCCAGTGTGTTTCCTAGCCTTATTGGTTACTCATTTCCTTGTGTTTTTAACTTGCTATATTTTATCCGAGTTCAATTTAGAAAACTCATTAATTGTAATTTTTAAAATGTTCACTGCGGTTTTTTCCCCCCATCTTAATTCAAATATTATGCCGGTAATGTCAAACATGATTAGTTCTTCTTGCAAAAAAAGGAGGAGAAAAAGAAGCACTATGGCGGAGTTTATGAGTCGGTACGATTGAGACGTGAGTTTTTCGTTTTTCACCATGATCATAAGATATCGTAATGATGACACAAGGATTAAGGTCTGCCAAATGCAAACAGGACGCCAGGTGAATCCGACCGGCTTCTTCCCTCTTCACGCTCGTTAATTTTCACACGCTTACTTTTGGCCCCCACCGGCTCACCGGTCCTTTCTGCTTGACTTCAGCTTGTCTTTCACTCGCCTGAATTTGGGGTATAAAACTCGCTGTAAAGCTCTAGATTTTCAGTCATCTCCTCGCTTCAAACAGACATCAATCTCCAGCACTACTCAAAAATGGCATTCAAGGTAAGCTTCGAATTACTCCTAAATTATTCACTTACTTATATTTACACTCTAGGGAGAGCACCTGTCATAAAATTCTGTTTTACAGGTAGCTCTGATAGTCTAGCTGAAGCTGATAAAACAAACCCGCAGCTCCGAATTTCTGCGTAGAATATTCTACAGTATATTCATTTGAAAATTGTGGTACATGACGTCATCCATCACACAAGTGCACACCGTGGTTTCACTCCTCTCGGTCTCATCGTCCAGAGCTGATTTTTTTTACTTATTTCTGGACGTCAATAATTAAATAATTAATTAAAGTTCGGATACACAATGGTCATTCAAAACCTCAAAATCTAAATTTTCTATTTGTATATTGCTTTGTATCAGTCTTCGGCTTAGCGATTACAATCTTTGGAAATGTTACCCGAGTTGATTCCTTGAAAAATGTTGTGTATAATTGCTAAAACTTGATTTTCGAAAAACGCCGAAAGGTCTCTATTTCATAACTGCGCCGAAATATCTCCAATGAGTTTCCACACAAAGTTATGATTTATAGCACTACGCAGCACGTTCAGGGCCGGATTAAGGGGATGGCCACATGGGCCGCGGCACATGGCGGCAAATAAGGGGCGGCAAAAATTTGCAATTTTTTAAAGTGTAGGTATAAAAACAAGTCGGATTTATAAAAACAAAATTACAAACGAGAAAAGGAGAAAAAATCTCTCATTTCCTGAGAGTATAGTAATTTCTAATTTTGTCGTCTCTAAGTGATACAAGAGACAGCACCCTCAATAAGTCGAGTTACGAGAGAAACCAAACACGCAATTTGGCCTAGAACGGCGCGACTTAGAGAGAGCTCATAACGAGGACTTGAGATGATAAGGAGAGGCCCTCGGCCCGGCAATCGGCATGTAACACATACTAGCGCCTACAAGACTGCACGAATACTTCACGCATTGCATCAAACACAGTGCGGTCATTACGGTCAGCGTGAAACGGATAGCGCCTATAAGAATGCATGAATACTTCACGAATTACGCCAAACACAGTGCGGTCAGCGTGAAACGCATAGCGCCTACAAGACTGCGGGAATACTTCACGCATTGCGTCCAACACGGTGCGGTCTGCGCGGCGCGGCGGTGGAAGTTAAAATCATTGAACCACATTTATGTTTGTTCTTTCATAATTTTTTCGTTAATTTCTTATGAATGGAAGGCCTTGTCCATTAGAGATAGGTTTACGGAACTTAACTTTCGCGCAAAGTTTCGTGGTTGACAGGGCTTTCCCAAAAAATGTGCTCAACACGAGTAAATGCGTCTTATGCACCCCTCCGCTGGCACGTTCATTTGATTGTTTTTATAGAGTTTCAAAACGAATGAGAAGGGGGCGCAAAATATAGGCGGCCCATGGGCGGCAAGTAAGTGAATCCGGTCCTGTCAACAACAGTTAAATTTTAAAAATACTTGTCGTCATTTGTGTAATTCAACTTTAATTTGATCTGTATTAAAAACAAGTTTTAATACCTCATTCAATACTTGATTTCCCAACTTCTAGTTGAGTGAATCGTTTTCTACAGAAAAGTTTGAGGAAAAACATGCAACGTTCCTTTCTATTTAAGACCTTGTTTAGTGGCCGATTGAAGGATTCCGACTTTCCGTTAATCTTCTCAAAATTCATTTTTACAGCTCTTCATCATATCCGCTCTTATGGCCGTAGCAAGCTGCGAATACAAGGCCAGCTCTTCATCCTATGTGAAGACAGCCCCTTCATACGGCCACGAGGTAGCATCTCACGGGAGTTACGGCCACGAGGAAGCGTCCCACGGAAGTTACGGCCACGAGTCGTACCACGACTCGCACCCCGCCTACAAGTTCGCGTACAGCGTGCACGACCCTCACACCCACGACGTGAAGGCCCAAGAAGAGACCCGCGACGGCCACCACGTCAAGGGCTTCTACTCCCTCTACGAGGCTGACGGCAGCAAACGCGTCGTCCACTACGCCGACAACGGACACGGATTCGAAGCCACCGTCCACAAGGAGGGAGGTCACCACCCCGTTTCAGCCCCTGTCCACCACCCTGTCGCTGCCCCAGTCCACCACCCCGTCGCTGCCCACAGCCCAGTCGTACCCCACCAACCCATCGCTGCCTACACCCCCGTCTCCACCCCGGTGTACTTCTCTCCGTCGCCAGCTTACGTCATCGAGCCAGCTCATAAACACCACGAATGATGCCCCCTTGGTCTGAGATAAAATTGATTTCATGAGTTACACGAGTGATCCTGGTCATTTTATCGAACGGAAAGTTGCGGTAAGAGCTCAGTCTTCCGTTTGATGGAAACTTCACCTACGCAGATAAAGCCCAGACTTTTTAGATATGTCCAGGGCAATTAAATGAGAGAAATCTTACTTTGAAAAATCTTTAGACGAAACGAAACTCTGATTAAACGACCCAAAAACATAAATTTGACTTCATTTTGCAATTCGGAACTACAATTTTTGGCTAGGTAAAGACACAATGTATCTACTATTAGTTTATCTACGTATATTAGTGTTTTTACGGATGAGCCAGAAATTGTAGTTTCTGATTGCAAAATGAAGTCCAATTAGTCTACAAATTGCCTGTTTTTTTGGGGTGGATGCAAAGAGAAGGAGAAAGCGCAAGATTATGGAATAAGTTGTTAGAAAAAGAGATTCTCATTACCCTGCCACCGAATATGAAGGAGGAACAGTAAAATTTCTAGTTTTAAAAGAAAAAAAGGGGTAGCGTAGAAATAATTATGTTCACATCCCCCATTTAAGGTATCCATAGCACAGAACATATCTTCATCATGTCTTCCAAGTATGGCGATTGCAAAAATATTAAACTGGTTCAAGCTGTGACCAATATGACCGACATGACTAACACGACTAATACGACCAACTTGATTCGTTAACGGTCTTGAACCATCTGCAACGATAATTATACGAATTTTCATATGTTCCTCTATGTTTTCACCATTTTCTCGTTAATAAATACTGTTCAGCATACTTCTGCCCTTTTTTTTTAATGTTGTTGTCATGTTAATAATCAATACGTATTCTTTTGGATTCAATGGAGGATGAATTTTCAAGAGCCCAAGTGGAGAAGAAAAAAACGGGGAAAAGATGAGTCTGCCTTTATGCATTATTATTGCTTTAGACTCAGCAGAAGAGAAAAAGAGGAAAATCTGACAACATACCCTAGGGGTAGGTAAATCACTCCATTGTTGTTTCAATTAATTTGCTATTAATTCCAATTACCCTCCACACTTACCGCTCACGCCACGGTGCGGCTACTTGCGTTACATTGAGAACAGTTTGGTGTTACAAAGTAAATACCTTTTATAAACGGGTTAAAACGGGGCACATATCGGCCCCCAGATAAGAATCATTGTTTTTGATAAAAGGGAATCTATCGAGCACAATTGGAAATTAGCGCCACCGGCCACCGCACCGGTAGCAATAACCATAAAAAGCCCGGCAGTTTATTGGACTTTTGCATGTTCGCGGCCCTCTCGCAGCTAGCTCAGAATGCAGCCAAACGGAACCGCCAGACTGAGCATGAATTCCCTTATTTTAGATTTTCGTATTGGCATTGATTCATTCTTGGATAAAAAAGTTTAAGAGTGTCCACACCTTTCCATTAGAGGACATTTTGAATAAAGCCTTAAAATTTCAACTCTTTTTTCATGTGATTACCTTCTGAAATCATCTGAATGAAGAAAGACGACCACGAAAAATTTGATGATGGACGTGATTTTTTTCAGAATCTTTTCATTTTTTCTTAGTTTTTCCTTCGTAATTTTGTAATCTTCATTCCTCTTTCGTCTTCATTTTATTTTCATGTCGCAAAATAAAACTGCCAGACTGAGCGTAAATGTTTTTATCGACAAAAATGTATCGCCAGTAAAGCTTAAAATAATAATAAAAAGTTTAAATAATATAAAAAAATAAATAAATTTAAAGTCTAAAAAAGAAGAAGTTATACAGGTTTAAAAGTTCAAGCAATAGTAAATAAAATATAAAGTTTTATAAGAAGTTTTAAAAGTTTTCACATCTTTTATTGAAAAATGTCTCCAGGGACTCATACAATACGTGAATCTAAATTTGGGATTTTCGACACCCCCCCTCCCCTATTAGTGACACATCGGTAACGTAGGTACACACATTGAAAGGAAATGGCGTGACACTCTTCTCGAAACTTTTAAGAAAAATAAATTTAAAAAGCAGACACTTTCATCGATGTCTTTGCGAATGATTCAACCCTCAAAATTTGATCCTGTCACACCCGCGACTGATCCATGGATCCGAGAAATTGGTCATCAATTCTAATTCTCTCAGAATAGATTATTTTCTTAATGTGCCCTGACAATGCTCCCTTCTATCCACGGTTCGCCTTATTTTTAAATGCCTCTTTTCATCATTCCTTCACCAGCTTGCACACGCCAAAAAAAATTATAGCAGCCTAGCCTCGTTGCCAAAAGTTTATAACAGTTATTGACACAGTTCCGGTAAGAGTGTATACAAATTTTGTTCGAGTACGCCTATTTCGGCAACACCACTTTTTACTACAGTGAATGAATGACTTGTCATGCGTTCGATGAGTCATTCATCAACTGCGCTACTCACCGTGTGTCCACGGCTGAATTCATTCATGAATCCCCTCTTCGGAGCTCTCGTGCGCCTCGGAAGGGAGGGGAGGCGGGGCACCCCGTCTTACATGTTTCGGCGTTATTTTTCATCAGAATTACCCAGGTTACAAATAATTCTTCATGCTCCCCCCCCCCCCTCACATTCGCTCACACGTCTTACATCTTTGTAAATTTTCGCGAGATCAAGTTTTGGACTTGCTGGTTTTTGAACCTCTCTTGAGCAGCAGTAAATCAATTTCGCACGCTTCGAGTGTATAATATCTAACTTTTGTTCGGCCGGCAGTTTATTAAACAGATGTGACGGAGGCATTATAAGTACATGCGCAATCGCAAGCCAGTCTTGAACCAAGATTGCGTAGCGAGCGATTCGGTTTGCTGAACGTTTTCAGGGGTAAACTGAAGAAGTTACTACGAAAGTGCAAAGTGTACAACATGCGATTTTGTTTTGTTTTAAAATGTATTCGAAAAAAAAATCAGGTATTTTTACACAACATGTGACTGAGCTACTTCTTGAAATAACCCCGAAAATATGCCTAGAAAGAATATCATACAATCTTTTTGCGATAATGATTCAAGACGTACTTTAAAGATATTTCAAAATGTGTCTCGGGCAAACCTTGTACACAAAATCCTAACGTCGCAAAGTGAATCGAACTTTTAGGAGAGGTTGGATATGAATTTTTTGGCAAAAATGACAAGTTATTACGTTTCTTTCATCACAATTTCAATTTCGGGGAGTTTATCTATAAGGAAAAATTACGACAAAACCAATAAAACCACTTTTAAACTTTTTCGTTTCATATTTTCGAAGATATTAGCTTTCAAAGTTTCCAAATTTTGTCCGACCTTCCCCATCGACTCGTTCCACTGTGCGTCGTACCAGGTGATTTGATGCTTGGAAGTTCACAGGAAATGTTCTAAAATCCAGAAATCATCTATTGATCGGTCGACTATCGCATCATTCTCCATCGTGCTAAAAAAAACATCTCAAAATTTCAGCCGAATGCTTCAAAATTCGATTTCAATTTTCGACGAGGACTTTGAGTGGTAATTCGATCCTCCTCTTTAGTCATGTCGGTGCGAAAGTGAAGGTGAGTCTCAGTGGGTTGAGCTTTGAAAGAGCTGAGTAACCTCCTTTTTTATTGGCTCGCTGACAATTCCGATGTGTTGCAGATGAGAGATTGTGTGAATCCCTTTCAACGGTCGGAAGCCTCGCTTCAACGCCTCGACGACAATGGCAAATAAATCATCCCAGCCCGATCGTCCGAGTCCCAGTCCATTGTGAGAAAAAATATGTATTTCAACTGTAAATACCCGCTGACGCATCCAGTTGAGAAATTCGAATTCCCGCTCCAAAACAAACATGGGCAGTAAGGACTGCATAGCTGCGTTCCTTAAGTCTAACATTGCGGTTCTCATAAACGGATTGAATTTTGCAAAAAGGAACCAAGAACATTCCAGTGTTGCTAAAATTGGACTGCGTTAAGCAGAAAGGAACCAAGTCACACCAGCTGTTTCCGAACTAAATAGGGCAGTTGACTTTTTTACATGAAAACAGTTGTGAGGATTTTTGTGCATAGCACGAAGCAGATTCCTCAACGTTCTCAAAGGAATCCGCAAAAACGCTCTCTTGTAAAAAATTAAACTGCACAGTTAAATTTGGCAACAGCTGATGTGTCTTGGTTCCTTTCCGTTGAACGCGGTCCAATTATGCACCTAACATTCTTTGAAATGAAATTACTGAAATCGTTCAAAAAATTAAATTTACAAAGGTAATTTTCGTCTTGAATTTATAGTTTATTGAGAGGGAACATAGGACTTGTTCAGATGATCAGTTTATATTTTCGAGAGGAAAAAAGTTGTACAATCTTCGCGACATTGGAATGCTCTTTGCTCCTGTTTGCAAAATGCAATCCGAATAGAACCAGGGGCTGAATTTTGTCGGTACTTTTACACGGAAATGCAACACCTGTCCCAAACCACACCGATTGAAAGCCGATTGAAAGCGTTAGGACTCATGTGTAGTCGCGACTCATCCTGAGTATATCGTCGCTCCTCCGACGAAAGGACGTATCTTAATTGCCACATGAGCCCCGAATAGCATGGATGTAAATGTAGAATAGGGTTCACGTGGAAATTGAGATGCATCCTTACGTCACAGGAGCGACGAGATCTGTGACAGGATCTATGGAAATGGATCTCATTTTCAGAAATTTCAAAATTGAGTTATGGGTAGCATGTCATTGAGAGGAAAAATATGGACAGTTTGACGCAAGTTTGACCCTGAAATATCAAAAATTAAAGGAAATATATCGTCTTAAAATTCCGAGACAACATATCTCGAGCTACAGATTTTTAAGTTAAAAATATTAAACTAAAAACCGCGCGTTGCTTGTTCTCGAGGCTTCTAGAGAGCGTTAAAATTGAGAAAATTGTTAATTTTGACCTTTCAATCTTAAGTTCGTCGCTCCTGGAAGATTTGCTCCCGGGAGAAAAGGCCTCCTTTTTACAGATCCTGTCGCATTTAAGTACCGGTAAAAGGACCGGCCAAGTTTGATCCCTGAGGGCCGTTGAGAGGGTGAATTTTCACCCGCGGAAAGAGCGGATTTAGCGTCTCCTACTATCAGACCAATGGATAGAAGGGGCTGGACACGGACAAGTAGGTAAACGCGGATATTCTTCTACAGATCAAAGGATAGAATTATGATTTTTTTTTTTTAATTCAGGGTTAGACATTTTGAAATTCAAAAAGGACGTGTATGATTGGTTCAAAATGAGAATATGATGTGTTCAAGCAAAAGAAGAAGAAGGAGAAGAAGAAAATGGCGGAGGAGAAGAAGATGGGGGAGAAGGAGGAGGAAGAGGAGGAGAAAAAGAAGACGTAAGAAAAACTTAAATTGAGGTCTACAGCAAAGTTGTCACAGAAAATGATATACAATGAAAGAGAGCGACCGATTTGTATGGCGCATTCCTCCTCCTAAACCTAGAGAATGTAAAAGCTCTAGAGGCAGATGCCAATGGATAATGTCACCAACATGTGCGATGACCCATACACTTTTATGTGCTAATTTTTCACCTTCTCTCAGCCTCCATATATTTTTTTGCAACAATGTATACGCACACCCAGCCCTAAGATAATGGATTGTACTCGCATTGATAATGAATATTCATAAAAAATCCGTGTCCATGAGATAAGAGTTAGGTAATAATGGAGGTATGTGGACTAATTAAGGCGACGCATCACAAATGTCTCTGCCCATCACTTCAAAGGACGGAGGGAAAGTCGTGAACTTAATTTTTGGTAACGTAAACTCTATTTTCTAGTTTCGATGCTACAAACTTTTTAGCGTTCTCAAG